GGTGCAGAGCTGAGTTCAATTCCTGGATATCCTTGTTAACTTTCTGTCATGTGGATCTGTCTAATGTTGACAGTGGGGTGTTAAAGTCTCCCATTATTATTGTGTGGGAGTCTAAGTCTCATTGTAGCTCTCTAGGGACTTGCTTTATGAATCTGGGTGCTCCTGTATTGGGTGCATATATATTTAGGATAGTTAGCTCTTCTTGTTGAATTGATCCCTTTACTATTATGTAATGGCCTTCTTTGTCTCTTCTGATCTTTGTTGGTTTAAAGTCTGTTTTATGCAACCCCTGCTATTTTTTGTTTCCATTTGCTTGGTAGATCTTTCTCCATCCCTTTATTTTGAGCCTATGTGTGTCTCTGCACTTGAGATGGGTCTCCTAAATACAGCACACTGATGGGTCTTGACTCTTTTATCCAGTTTTCCAGTCTGTGTCTTTTAATTGGAGCATTTAGCCCATTTACATTTAAGGTTAATATTGTTTCATGTGAATTTGATCCTGTCATTATGATGTTAGCTGATTATCTTGCTTGTTAGTTGATGCAGTTTCTTCCTCGCATCAATGGTCTTTACAACATTGGCATGTTTTTGCAGTGACTGGTACTGGTTGTTCCTTTCCATGTTTAGCACTTCCTTCAGGAGTTCTTGTAAGGCAGACCTGGTGGTGACAGAATCTCTCAGCATTCACTTGTGTGTAAAGGATTTTATTTCTCCTTCACTTACGAAGCTTAATTTGGCTGGATATGAAATTCTGGGTTGAAAATTCTTTTCTTTAAGAATGTTGAATATTGGCCCCCACTCTCTTCTGGCTTGTAGAGTTTCTGTCAAGTGATCCACTGTTAGTCTGATGTGCTTTCCTTTGTGGATAACCCGACCTTTCTCTCTGGCTGCCCTTAACATTTTTTTCCTTCATTTCAACTTTGGTGAATCTGACAATTATGTGTCTTGTAGTTGCTCTTCTCGAGGAGTATCTTTGTGTCATTCTCTGTATTTCCTGAATTTGAATGTTGGCCTGCCTTGCTCGGTTGGGGAAGTTCTCCTGGATAATATCTTGAAGAGTGTTTTCCAGCTTGGTTCCATTCTCCCTGTCACTTTCAGGTACACCAATCAGATGTAGATTTGGTCTTTTCACATAGTCCCATATTTCTTGGAAGCTTTGTTTCTTTTTACTCTTTTTTCTCTAAACTTTTCTTCTCGCTTCATTTCATTCATTTGATCTTCAATCACTGATACCCTTTCTTCCAGTTGATCGAATCGCTGCTGAAGCTTGTGCATGCATCTCATAGTTCTCGTGCCATGATTTTCAGCTCCATCTGGTCATTTAAGGTCTTCTCTATGCTGTTTATTCTAGTTAGCCGTTCATCTAATCTTTTTTCAAGGTTTTTAGCTTTTTTGCAATGGGTTCAGACATCCTCGTTTAGCTTGGAGAAATTTGTTGTTACCAATCGTCTGAAGCCTTCTCTCAACTTGTCAAAGTCATTCTCCATCTAGCTTTGTCTGTTGCTGGCAAGGAGCTGTATTTTTCTGGAGGAGAAGAGGTGCTCTGATTTTTAGAATTTTCAGCTTTTCTGCTCTGGTTTCTCCCCGTCTTTGTGGTTTTATCTACCTTTGGTCTTTGATGATGGTGACATACAGATGGGGTTTTCGTGTGGATATCCTTTCTGTTTGTTAGTTTTCCTTCTAACACTTAGGACCCTCAGCTGCAGGTCTGTTGGAGTTTGCTGGACATCCACTCCAGACCCTGTTTGCCTGGGTATCACCAGCGGATGCTGCAGAACAGCAAATATTGCAGAAAGGCAAATGTTGCTGTCTGATCATTCCTCTGGAAGCTTCATCGCAGAGGGGCACCCGGCTGTATGAGGTGTCAGTTGGCCCCTACTGGGAGGTGTCTCCCAGTTAGGCTACTCGGGGGTCAGGGACCCACTTGAGGAGGCAGTCTGTCTGTTCTCAGATCTCAAACTCCGTGCTGGGAGAACCACTACTCTCTTCAAAGCTGTCAGACAGGGACATTTAAGTCTGCAGAAGTTTTTGCTGCCTTTTGTTCAGCTATGCCCTGCCCCCAGAGGTAGAGTCTACAGAGGCAGGCAGGCCTCCTTGAGCTGCAGTGGGCTCCACCTGGTTTGAGCTTCCCAGCCGCTTTGTTTACCTACTCAAGCCTCAGCAATGGTGGGTGCCCCTCCCCCAGCCTCGCTGCTGCTTTGCAGTTTGATCTCAGACTGCTCTGCTAGCAATGAGCGAGGCTCCATGGGTGTGGGACCCTCTGAGCCAGGTGCAGGATATTATCTCCTGGGGTGCCATTTGCTAAGACCATTGGAAAAGCGCAGTATTATTAGGGTGGGAGTGACCCAATTTTCCAGGTGCTGTCTGTCTAGGCTTCGCTTGGCTAGGAAAGGGAATTCCCCAACCCCTTGCGCTTCCCGGGTGAGGCAATGCCTCGCCCTGCTTTGGCTCTGCACCCACTGTCTGACAAGCCCCAGTGAGATGAACCCAGTACCTCTGTTGGAAATGCAGAAATCACCTGTCTTCTGCGTCACTCACGCTGAGAGTTGTAGACTGGAGCTGTTCCTATTCAGCCATCTTGGAACCTCTCTTATTCTTTTAATGCTTGTAGCATCTGTAGTGAGAACCTTTCTTTCCTGATTTTTTAAATTTGTTTGTTTAATCAAACTAGCTACAGGTGTGTCAATTTTATTGTTCATTTAAAAAACTCAGTTTTTGGCTTCATTGATTTCATTTTTCTCAATTTTATGTTTTATATTTCATTTATGTCTGTTTTTAAATTATTTCCTTTCTTGTATTTACTTTTTTAAAACATAGAGATATATAATTCACATAACATAAAATTTCTTATCACATGAAATTCACCCTTTTAAAGTATACAGTGCAGTGGTTTTAGTATATTCACAAAGCTTTGAATCTTCACCCTGTTCAATTCTAAAATATTTCAGTCTCTAAAAGGGTATCTCATATCTATAACAGTCACTTCCCATTTTCCACTCCCCTAGCCCCTAACAACTGCTAATCTACTTTCTGTCTAAATGGATTTGGCCATTTTGGATATTTCATATGAATGGAATAACAAAATACGTGGCCTTTTGTGTCTGGCTTTTTTCACTTAGCATATTGTTTTCAAGGTTCATTCATGTTGTAGCACATATGAGCATTTCATTACTTTTTATGAAGGGACAATAATTCTGTTGTATGGATATACTATGTTTTGTTTATCCATTCATCAATCAATGGACATTTGTGTTGTTTCCACTCTTTCCATAATAATGGAATAATAATTCCATTATTATGAATAATGCTGCAATAAACATTCATGTGCAAGTTTTTGTGTGGACATATGTTTTCAATTATCTTGAATATATGCCTAGCAGTGGAATTGCTGGGTCATCTGGTAACTCTGTGTTTAACTTTTGGAGAAACTGCCAAATTGTTTTTCCAAACTTCTGTACCATTTTACATTCCTGCCAGCAAAGTATTTCAACACTGATTTCTCCATCTCCTCACCAACACTTATTAGCTATTATTGTGATTATAACCATCTAGGAGTATGAAGTAGTATCTCATTGTGGTTTTTATTTGTAGTTCCCTAATAATTAATGATATCAAGTATATTTTTATGTACGTACTGGCTATTTGCATATCAGGATCATTCTCTTTTGATTATCTTTTCCCTGTGAGTTTAAATCATGTTTTTCTATTGCTTCATATATTGGATAATATTAGATTGCACCTGGGTATTGTGTATCCCTTGTTATAGAAAATGTAGATTCAGTTATGCTCTCCCAAAGAGTTTTGATGTGTCAATTTTATTAGGCAGTAACCTTGTCTGAACCCAAAATAAGCAACAAGTGAAGTCTCATTTTAGTTGTTTTATCCTTAGATAGGCTGCTTCGAATCTTCCTCATATATATGGGATTCAGAGGTCAGCTAGATATTTGGGGAGCATTTATACACAAAATTTGGGGCTCTTCTCTCTACCTCTCTTATCTGATATTTTCCCTCATCACTTTACAGCTCTTATAGTTGCCCTGAATTCTAACCTTGAACCAATAAGACTGTAGGTTTCTAACTTTTTTGAATGTGGCACCAGCTGAGACTGTAAAACAATGGGAAACTCACTCTTCTTCCAAGTGTCGGCACCCCCTTCGCTAGCTCTCTACTTCCTTTTTGTCCATTCACTGACTTCTAGTAGTTGTTTTTTAAAATATTTTGTCCAGAATTTATAGTCATTATGTTAGGTAGGGTTGGTCTGATAGTAACTGTTTAGCCATTACCAGAAACAGAGCCTCTCTGTTGATTTTTGTTAACTTGTTTCCTCAGTGGTATAGACATTTCCTCCCAACAGCTATTCTACTGGTAGTTGCCTTTAAATTTCTCGTAAATATTTATCAGAAATATTTTATTTTTCTTATTATAAATTATTTTAAAATATCTGTGATTTCCTTGGAATACAAGACAACTCTTTACTATCTTTTTTCTATCTGTTTTCTATCTGTTTTCCTCCCATAGATTTAATTACTCTAGGAATAATGATTTTGGTGTACTTGGATTCCTTTTGGAAACGTAGCAAACTTATTTCACACATAATTTTATAAACAATTATATTTGCTAGAAACCAAAGGAAGAGTTTTGGGTATTACATAGAATTAATTATATGAAAAGTATAAATATTATATATGGCTATTTGTAAGTAAGTTTGGACTTTTTTAATATCCTTAGTGTAGTCTTCTAATAGCACAAGGAGTGAATGTATAAATTATCTTCTTTTGGGGCCACTGTGACTAAGGGGTTAAGAAGCATTCCTGTTTCCTTCCAAGTTCTGTTCTAGTAGGAACTACTCATTTCCTACCTTTAAGTGTCTTCATTGAACTTGAAAAAGTACCAGGGTGGATTTGTGGTTTGATCTTAAATAGAATATACAAATAACTGTCCATGCATTTAAAAAATTTATAAAATACATAATTTCTCGTTTCCTTTCCACTTGCCTTTAGGGTTCCATTACCTTCAAATGATGATGAAGATGATGATAAAGAGAAAATGCAGTGTGACAACAATGTTAAATCAAAGACATTACCTGATATTCCCTCTTCAGGATCAACAACACAACCTTTATCAACTCAGGATAATTTGGAAGTGTTATTTCTTAAAGAAAATAATCAAAATGTATATGGTTTAGATGATTCAGAACATATTTCTTCTATAGTTGATGTACCTCCCAGAGGTGAGATTGTTTTAAAAATTCATTTAGAATATTTGTATTAGTTACATTCATCAGATATTCTTCCTGAGGGCAATTATGTGTAACAGTTAATAAGTTAGCTCTCTTATGTTACAGATTTGCTAACTTCTGCCATTTAAAACTGCTGGTGATAGATTTAATTTTAAAGTAAATATGCTGACAAACATCAGATCCACAGTGGCCTAATACTGTTACTCTGGAAGAAATGTTTAGAAATAAATGGACCTAATGAGCTTTTCTTGGTATCTTAGCTTATGATTTGAAAGATACCATATATTTACTTAGTTTTACCCTCTTTTTTCGTAGATATGAAAATTGGGGTCTAGATAGATATAGAGACTCTTTTAAGATCATCACCAATTAATTAGCGGTAAAGCAAAAACTTGAGCCTGGGGAATGGTTGAGCAAGAAAAAAGATGGCATTTACATTTTATTTACATAGTATTCCTAAATGATAATCTGTGGTGTAGTCTGGTGCTTACAGATTTGCCATAGATTTTCAGACTGGGATATGGAACCATAACAATTTTGAATTTAGAGTTTAGAATTGTTTTTCCTTTCTGAAAATGTGTGTGTGTGTGTGTGTTTATGTGTGTGTATGTACACATATAATATACACACACATATATACATATATACACACATATATGGTATACATATAATGTATACAGTACATGTATATACGTGTATATATACACACATACATATATTAATATATGTATATATAATTTATATAAATTTTAGCTGCCTGTTGATAGTCTTTGATAGTAATCCTTTTCAGAGTTATTACTATTATTGGGTTCATTTGCTGGCCTCCTTCCACTCTAGAAATGTATGCTAATGGCTCTACTGTTGGCTGTACTCCACTCTACTGTTGGGGCTGAGGCAGAATTCTCAGTATATATTTTCTATAGATACAAATGTAAAATGTGATTTAGGAGTACTCATCATTTCTAACTTACTTTCTTATAAGCATAGATTCTTAGTAATATTAGGATCTGAGCAGAACACATTGTCAGAAATTATATCTGTGAAACAGCTTGATAAATTTACTTAAAGTAACTTATTACTTATTTCATTACTTATTTCTGAGTTTTGTTTTCCTTTTCTTAATAGAAAGCCATTCCCACTCAGACCAAAGTTCTAAGAGTTCTCTAACGAGTGAGATGAGAAACGCCCAATCTATTGGCCACAGATGGGAGAAACCATCTCCTAGTAATGTGACTGAAAGGAAGAAGCGTGGGTCATCTTGGGAATCAAATAATCTTTCTGCAGACACTCCCTGTGCAACAGTTTTAGATCAACAACACATTTCAAGTCCAGAATTAAATTGCAATGATGAGATAAATGGTCATACTAATGAAACAAATACTGAAATGCAAAGAAATAAACAGGATCTTCCTGGCTTATCTTCTGAGTCTGCCAGAGAATCTAATGCAGAGTGCATGAATCAAGTTGAGGATAATGATGACTTTGAATTGCAGAAAACTGTGTATGATGCTGACATGGATTTAACTGCTAGTGAAGTCAGCAAAATTGTCACAGTTTCAACAGGCATTAAAAAGAAAAGTAATAAAAAAACAAATGAACATGGAATGAAAACTTTCAGAAAAGTGAAAGATTCAAGCTCTCAAAAAAAGAGAGAAAGATCAAAGAGACAGTTTAAAAATAGTTTAGATGTGGATATCGGGGAAAAGATTGAAAACAGGCCAGAAAGATCTGATGTCCTGGATGGCAAAAGGGATGCTGAAGATCCTGGTTTTATTTTCAATAATGAACAGCTGGCTCAGGTGAATGAACTGAAGAAAATGACCCTTCAAACTGGCTTTGAACAAGGTGACAGAGAAAACATACAGTGTAACAAAAAGAAGAAAAGAATAACAAATGAGCAAGAGGAAACATACTCTTTATCCCAAAGTTCAGATAAATTTCACCAGGAGAGTAAACTTGATAAGGGTCAGAATTCCCTAACTTGTAATAAAAGTAAAGCTTCTAGACAGACATTTGTGATTCACAAATTAGAAAAAGATAACTTACTCCCAAACCAAAAGGATAAAGTAACCATTTATGAAAACCTAGATGTCACAAATGAATTTCAAACAGTCAGTCTTTCCACCAAAGATAATGGAAATTTATGTGATTATGGGACCCACAATATATTGGATTCGAAAACATATGTCACTGATATTCAACCTTCTGAGCAAAATGAATCAAACATTAATAAGCTTAGAAAGAAAGTAAACCGGAAGACAGAAATAATTTCTGGAATGAACCACATGTATGAGGATAATGATAAAGATGTGGTGCGTGGTCTAAAAAAAGATAATTTTTTTTTTGAAACCCAAGAGGATAAAGAACCTATCTCTGAAAACATAGACGTTTCCAAAGAGCTTCAAATCCCAGCTCTTTCTACCGGAGATAATGAAAATCGATGTGACTATAGGACCCAGAATGTGTTGGGTTTGCAAAAGCAGATCACCAATATGTACCCTGTTCAGCAAAATGAATCAAAAGTTAATAAGAAGCTTCGGCAGAAAGTAAATCGGAAGACAGAAATAATTTCTGAAGTGAATCATTTAGATAATGACAAAAGTATAGAATACACAGTTAAAAGTCACTCACTCTTTTTAACTCAAAAATATAAGGAAATCATCCCTGGAAACCTAGAAGACCCAAGTGAGTTTGAAACACCTACTGTTTCTACCAAAGATAGTGGAAACCTGTATGATTCTGAGATTCAAAATGTTTTGGGGGTGAAACATATCCATGATAGGCAACCTGCTTGTCAAAATGATTCAAAAATAGGTAAGAAGCTTCGACTAAATGTATCTCAAAAGTCGGAAATAATTCCTGAATCCAATCAAATATATGAGAATGATGACAAAGGTGTACATGACCTAGAAAAAGATAACTTCTTTTCTCTAACCCCAAAGGATAAAGAAACAATTTCTGAAAATCTACAAGTCACAAATGAATTTCAAACAGTTGATCTTCCCATCAAAGATAATGGAAATTTATGTGATTATGACACCCAGAGTATATTGAATTTGAAAAAGTATGTTACTGATAGGAAATCTGCTGAGCAAAATGAATCAAAAATAAATAAGAAGCTCAGGAATAAAGTGAATTGGAACACAGAAATAATTTCTGAAATGAACCAGATATATGAGGATAATGATAAAGATGTACATGTCCAAGAAAGCTATACAAAAGATCTTGATTTTAAAGTAAATAAACAAAAACCTGAATGCCAAGACATTATCAATGAACACTATATGGAAATCAACAGTAATGAAAAGGAAAGTTGTGATCAAATTTCAGATTCCTACAAAGTAGTTAAAAAGTGTAAGAAAGAATCATCATGCAAGGCAAAGAACATTTTGACAAAAGGTAAGAACAAACTTGCTTCACAGTTAACAGAATCTTCACAGACATCTGTCTCCTTAGAATCTGATTTAAAACATATTACTAGTGAAGCAGATTCTGATCCAGGAAACCCGGTTGAACTATGTAAGACTCAGAAGCAAAGCACTACCACTTTGAATAAAAAAGGAGATACCCCTTTTGTGGAAGAAATAAAAGAAGGAGAATGTCAGGTTAAAAAGGTAATTAAAATGACATCTAAGTCAAAGAAAAGGAAGACCTCCATAGATCCTTCTCCAGAGAGCCATGAAGTAATGGAAAGAATACTTGACAGCATTCAGGGAAAGTCTACTGCATCTGAACGAGCTGATAAGGAAAACAATTTGGAGAATGAGAAAATGATCAAAAATAAGCCAGACTTTTACACAAAGGCATTTAAATCTTTGTCTGAGATATATTCACCCAACATACAAGATTCTTCCTTTCACAGTGTTCGTGAAGGTTTAGTACCTTTGAGCATTTCTTCTAGTAAAAATGTGATAATAAAAGAAAATTTTTCCTTGGAGTGCTCACCAGCCTTTCAAGTAAGTGATGATGAGCATGAGAAAATGAACGAGATGAAATTTAAAGTCAACCGGAGAACCCAAAAGTCAGGAATAGGTAGGTTAATAACCATTATGAAATGATAAAGCTTTAGAAGTGTTTTTGTTTTTGTTTTTGTTTTTTACTTAGCCAATGAAGTATTTTCTAAGTGGTATTTTTATGGAATTTAAAAACAATATATAACTGAGTACATGATCCATAGAAATAGCATGAAGGAATAAAGAAAGTTTCATACTTCGGGAAATAACAGTGAGAGAGTATCTTGGACATTTACAACTACAAACGGATTTGGCCTTTACCACAAACTTGTCTAATAAAGACCTTAGGCAAATAATTTCCTTTGTCATACATTTGAAGAAAATTGAATGTTTTAAATGTATATAATAATGAATTGTACTAGTTTTTATTTTACTGAAGACAGTTGCACTTTTCTTGAGGGTGAGAGACTTTCCCCATTCAACAACATATATTTAATGTGATCAAACCCTTCTAGATATTTTAGAGGATTGAAAAATAAACAGTACCAACCCCCTTTCCTCAGATTCCATGCATGTAACAAACATCATGGTGAAATGGAATGAATGATTCTTTAAGCACATGTATTATGCTAAGGGATATAATGGGGCGTAATTTTGACTAGAGGAATCTTCAAAAGCATCCTTAAATAGGTAGCATTTTAGGCCCTAAAGGATAAGTAAGATTTTTACCTGTAGTATTTACTTTTTATTTTTTCCCAGTTATTAAAATAGTACTCATTGCAGAAAATCAAAAGTAGAAAGTCAGAAAAAGGGAGGGGAAAATAATCACCTGGGAGAACTTTAGTCCATTTACCATGTGCATGCAGACCCAAATCTATGGAATTTTAAATATATATTTGAAGTCATACTATATATAACATTACTTATCTCATTTTTTTCCTTAACAGTGAATCCTAAAGTTCTTTTGCCGTTAGAAATTTTGTAATATTAAACATTCCTATACCAATTAAAAATTTTTACTGGGAGCCTATTATTTCAATATATGTGTGTAGATCCCTAAGGTTTTGGTGGGTAAGTCAATTCCAGGTAAAAGCACACCGAAGCAAAAGAATTACGAAGGTCTAGAGTTGCAGGATTGATTTGTTAGAGGACTGGTGAGACATTTTTTATCTGCTCCTCATGGTGCCTTTCACAGAGTGAATGATCAGTGGCGTATATGTTGAATGAATGTTCTGTAATTTGTGTGCTTCCATGAAAAGAGTTGGACTAGGATGAACTTTTGGGACCCATATGTGATTTCAGAATAAAAAAGTTGCCAGCTACTCTGACAGTTTGTTTCAAATGTTAGTCTCTTTCCTCTCAAAATTGAATCAAGATTTAAAATTTGCTGCAGGGATTTGCAAACCACTATATAGCTCATATCTATTTGTATCTCTATATACTTTTTAAAATATTTGTGAAAAATCATATTCTTTTCAGGCGATAGACCATTACAGGACTTGACAAATACCAGTTTTGTTTCAAATAACACTGCTGAATCTGATAATAAGTCAGAAGATCTATCTTCAGAACGGACAAGCAGAAGAAGAAGGTGTACTCCTTTCCATTTTAAAGAGCCAAGCCTCAGAGAGTAGGTATTTCAAGTGATTTTAGTATGCCATTATAAAATATATCCTTAAAAAAATTTCTGCCTGAATTAGTATTTGAGCACTTCTGATAATTCAATAAAATGTATATTATTGATATGTAACAACCACAGTATGATTTGGGTAAGATTTGAAGAAATATGTCCTTTGAGCAGGCTATTTTTGGGGGGTTGGAGGGTTGTCTGGATTTAAATTGATTTACTTTTGGTTAGTTCCCAGTTCTACTGCTGTCATATTTTAAATTGTAACCTGATAATTATAATTTTTAAAATTCGTGCCCTGTGATTTGCAAGCTATTTTTGTTACCCCATTTGTTTATTTCCTACCTTGTTCCCTAGAAGTCAAAGTGGTTTATGTGTCCTTTACTCTCAAAAGAATAACAGTCCTTTCTCTTTATTTTTGTAAATTTCAAACATACCCCAACAAAGAGAATAGTGCCCTCCTCCAATTTATCCATTCCTCAGGTTCAACAGTTATCAACACTTTGTCATATTTGCTTCATCTATCCTTTTTGTTGTATTTTAGAGTCTCAGATATTGAGTCATTTAATTCTGAAAACACTTCTATATATCTCTCTCTAAAAAGTAAGAACTTAAATTTCTTAGCAAAACTAGACAACAATGATCACATCTAACAAAAAAGAATGATTTTCATGGGTATTTTAAAACAATAACCAGCAGATGGCAGTAATATAAGGGAGGGTAAAAGAAAATTAAAAGTGAAATTAAGGACCAAGGGGCCTTTCTTTTTTTTTCTTTTCTTTTCTTTTCATTTCTTTCTTTTCTTTCTTTCTTTTTTCTTTTCTTTTTTTTTCTTTTTTTAACAGCTATTGAGAGATACAGTTCACACAATTTAAACTGTACAATTTAGGCCAGACATGGTGGCTCACACCTGTAATCCCAGCACTGTGGGAGGCTGAGGCAGGTGGATCACTTGAGGCTAGGAGTTCAAGACCAGTCTGGCCCCCATCTCTACTAAAAATGCAAAAAGTAGCCAGGCATGGTGGTGCGTGCCTATAGTCCCAGCTGCTTGGGAGGCTGAGGCAGGAGAATCACCTTGAACCCAGAGGCGGATGTTGCAGTGAACTGAGATTATACCACAGCACTCCAACCTGGGTGACAGAGTGAGACTCTGTCTCAAAAAAGAAAAAAAAAAGTGTACAATATTCTGGTTTTTAGTATATTCATAGATATGTGCAACCATTACCAGAGTCAATTTTACAACACTTTTTTTACTTAAAAAGAAACCCTGTACCCTTTAATTATCTCTTTCCTATCCCCCAATTCTAGGCAACCACTAATCAACTTCTTGTCTCTCTAGATTTCCCTGTTCTAGACATTTCAAATGAATGGAATAATAGAATATGTGGTATTTGCAACTGGCTTCTTTCACCCAGCATGTTTTAAAGTTTCTTTCATACTGTAGCATGTATCAGTATTTCATTCATTTTTATGACTGAATAATATTCCATTGTATAGATACCACATTTTGTTCATCCATTTGTGCTTTGATGGACAATTGGGTTGTTTTCATCTTTTGGCTATTATGAATATGCTACTATGAACATTCGTTTGCAAGGTTTTGTGTGTAAAGTGTTTTTTTTTTTTTCTTGGCTATATCCCTAGAAGTGGAATTGCTGAGTCTGTGTAATTGTTTGAGGAACTACCAAGCTGTTTCCAAAACTGCTGTACCATTTTACATGCTTACCAACGATGATGATTTTAAAAAATTTCTCCTTATCCTTACCAACACTTGTTTTTCTATGACTGTGGTTCTAGCCATCCTAGTGGGTTTGAAGTGATATTGCATGGTGGTTTTGATTTGCAGTCCCCTGATAACTAATGATGTTGAGTGTCTTTTCATGGGCTTACCGGCCATCTGTCTTCCTGGAGAAATGCCTGTTGAGATCCTTTGTCCATTCTTCAGTTGGGTCATTTGCCTTTTAATGAGTTGTAAGTTAAACTTTTTATTTTGAACTAATTTTAGACTAATGGTAAAGTTGTAAAAATAATACAAAGGTTTCCCATATGGTCCTCTCCCAGCATTCCTTAATTTTAATGTCTTATGTGCCCAGTAAAATTATCGAAACCAAAGAATTAGCATTGGTACAATGCCATTAACAAACTATAGACTTTCACTAACATCACTTCCTGTTTCAGAATTCTATCTGGAGTCCCACGTTGCATTTAGTTGTTGTTTTTCCTAAGCATCCTCTAACCTATGACAGTTTCTCAGTCTTTTCTTTTTTTCTGCCTTGGACACCTTTGAAGACTACTGGTCAGTTTATTTTGTAGAATATCTCTCGGTTTGGGTTTGTCTGATGTTTTCTCATGATTGCAATGCAGTTGTGCTTTTTTGGCAAATATTTCACAGAAATTATATGTCCTTCTTGCCTCATTTCAAGGCTTCATGATATCAGCATGTTTCATTACTGTCATGTTAGCCTTGATTCCTTGGTTAAGGTGGTATCTGCTGGGTTTTTTACTGTGAAGTCACAATCTTTTCCTCTGTTGTTAATGAACATGGAAGGGAGATACTTTGAGTCTATATATTCCATTTCTCAAACTTTCACCCACTAATTTTAGCATCCATTGGTGGATCTTGCCTGCAACAGTTACTACTATGGGTACTATTAGTAATGATTTTTGATTTCTCCCTTTCCTTCTACATTAATTGGAATCAATCTGTAAGGAAGAGTTGTCTTTTCTCCCTCTATTTATATATCTCTTGATATATAAAAGACGAAAGTCCAATACCATCAATATTTATCTGGTTACTCAAGTTATTCCAACTTTGACCACTAAGAGTTCCTTCTGTTTGGCTTCCATGTCCTTCTGACATGCCTTCGTACTATTTGGAGCACTTTCTTACTTTCTGACACACGGGATGTTCCAGGCTCATCATAGTGAGAAGATTAGAGAATTTTGCTTAGAAACCAAAATCTGAGCACTAAGTATGCTCATTGCTTATATTGTGTTGTATTCGTTATCTATTACTCCATAACAATATTCCCATAAACCTATGGCTTAAAGTAGCAATCTGGACACAGCTTAATTGGGTGTTCTGCTTAGGGTCTGACAAAGCTGCACTAAAGGTGTCGTCCAGGCTGGTTCTCATCTGGAGGCTGTACTGGGGAAGAATCTGCTTTCAACTCACACAGGTTGTTGGCAGAATTTGTTTCCTTGTGGTTCTGGACAGAGGGCCTCATCTTCTTGGTGTTGACTAGAGGCTGTCCTTAGCTTCTTGCCACACGGCCTCCTTTCCAGCATGGCCACTTACTTCAAAGCCAGCTATGGAGAATCTCTAGAGCAAGTCCTCTAGCAAGATAGAGTCTTATGTAACAAAATGTCATCTCGGAAGTGAGACATCTCATCACCTTTGCCAGTGGTCTCCTTGTTTATTGTAGAGGATCTATAGTATGTTTTAATGTCTGGTAGGGCTAGAATCCTCTTATGGTTTTTCTTTTTCATTGTTTCCCTCACTGTTGTTGAATGTTTGATGTTCCAAATGAACCTTAGGATGGTATTGACTTGTCTGGCTTGGAGTTTCATAACCTTAGCACTGTTGACATTTGGGGCTAGATATTTCTCTTTTATGGGAGGCTATCCTGTGTATTGTAGGATGTTTAGTGGTATCCCTGACCTCCATCCACTAGATGTCAGTAGCACCCTCACATTTATAACAACCAAAATTATGTCTCCAGATGTTGCAAAATTTCAATTGGGAGATAAAATCATCCTGAGTTGAAAACCACTAGTCTACAAGTATTTAGTTTTCTTTCTTGCTATTATATATGGACATGTAACTGATGCCCAGTGTTGTTCATATATATGAAAGCCGTTGAATTCTGTGTCATTTTATATCTTGCTACTTACTGAACTCTGTTATTCTCTTATCTCACTGATTGTCTTGAGTTCTCCAGGTATAGTATGATATCATCTGAAAATAGAGATAGTTTTACCTCATTACCCCTTTGTATGCCTCTTATTGTTTTTCTGTTAGCATTGGCTAATAACTCAGGTACAATGTTAAAATAGTAGCAGGAATAGTAGGCATGCTTGCCTTGTTCCTGATTTTAGTAGAAATACTTCTGTTGAAGTATTTTTGTCTCTCCATTAAACAAGATACTTGCTTTAAGATTAAGATATGTACATAATTTACTAAGAAAATGCCCCTTGATGCCTATTGAGTGTTTATCATGAATGATTGTTGAATTTTGTCAAAGGCTTGTTCAGCATTTATGAAGATAATCATACACTTTATTTCCTTACATGCATTAACATGGCATCTGTTGATGAGTTTTCTAGTACCAAACTCACCTTGCTTTCCTGGAATAAATCTCACTTTGTCATGGAGTATGTTTTTCATAATGTGATGTTGAATTGAGTTTGCCAAAATATTGTTTAGAATTTTTATATCAACATTCATAATTGATATGGGTCTATAGTTATCCATCTTTGAATTGTCTTTATCTGGCCTAGGTATCATATTAAGGGAATCAAGAAAGTCACCGTCTTGGTTCCTTTAATGAAATAATTTCTATTTCATTATAATTTATAGTACATTATAATTTATGTTTATAATTATTTGTATGTTATATACTTATATAATTTTAGAACATTGGGACTCTGGTTTTTGGAAGTTTGTTAGCATCCCCCTCTGAAACCATCTGGACCTAGTATTGTTTTGTGTGGGATAGTTCCTTAATAACGTTGACTATTTTTTGTGTGTGTGAAAATTAGTCTGTTGAAGCTTTTTTGCTCTAATGGGGTCAATTTTTGTTATTTGTATTTTTTTCGTTATTTGTATTATATTTCCATAGGAAATTATCCATTTCATCTAAGTTTTCACATTTATTTGCATAAAAGTCTGCAAATTATCTTTTATGAATTAGACATGTAAATTAATTTTAAATCTTTTTTCCATAGTTATTTTACCTATATCATTTATCATTTTGTGTGTGTGTTCTTTTTCTTTTTTTCTTGATCAAATTAGTAGTAGTAGTTTATTAACTTTTCCAAAAAATCAGGACTTTGATACTAATTGGATCTATTTTTCTGTTCTCTACCTCACTGATTTCTGCTTCATATTTATTATCTCCTTCTTTGTGTTTTCTTTGATTTACTTTATTGTTGTTGTTTTCTTATTTCAATTTATTATTTTTATTCTTTCATTTATATAGATAACAGTGTTTTATGGCCAGACACAGTGGCTCACACCTGTAATCCCAACACTTAATAGCCAGGCATGTTGGCATGTGCTTGTAGTCAGTCCCAGCTGCTACTAGAGAGGCTGAGGTGGGAGGATAGTTTGGGCCTGGTAGCTTGAGGCTGCAGTGAGCCATGATTGTGCTACTGCACAGAGAAAGATCCTGACTCAAAAAATTAAAAATAAAAATAAATAGAACACAAAAAACAAATTTTTAAAATAAGTGTCTTTTGCAATCAATTTTTCTTTGATCAGTGCTTTCAATGTATCTTGATTCTGATACATAGTGTTTTCAATGTGGTTTTTAAGTTTCTCTTTTTCTTCAGGAGTTATTAGGTTTTAAAAATTCCAGGTAGATGAACCTTTCTGGTTTTTTGTTTTTATTTGTAAATCTAGTTTTATTGCATTTTGGTCAGAAATTATTTATCGTAATATTTCTGCTTTATGGAAATTGCCAGTATTTTCTTTGTGACTTACTATAGGATCAGCATTTATAAGTGTGCTGTGAGTGCCTGAGAAAAATGTGTATTCTCTATAATCAGGATCTAAAGTTTGATATATATCCATAGACTTACTGTATTTATTATGTTGCTTAGATCTTCTGTCTCTTTACTTATTTTTTGTAAATAAGTGATCTGTTTTGTACTAAGGTTATACTAAGAGTTGTATATTAAAATGTATTGTGTCCTGTGTTTCCATGTATCTCCTGTAGTTTTTGCTTCAGAAAGGTGGTTCCTCTGCTTTTTGCTATGTAAATGTCATAATTATTACCTATTCATTTTGGATTGTGGCCTTTTTTATATTAAAAATGCCCTCATTCGTCATGTTCAGTGCTCTGGACTAAAGACTTAAAGTCTTTAAGAGATAAAGACTTTAAAAACATATTTATGTGACCTTCCTGATAACTCCTACCACTCCTATCTTCAGTACCTATGATGATCATTCCATAATAGCAAGCAGCTTTCATTAGGATCTACTTTCATGGGAGCTACTAGAAGCTGTGATATACCTAGTGCATACCATTTCCAATCCAAAAAGAAGGAAGAAAAAATGTGGCAACTGGATGGTCATCACTCAGAATTTATACTGAATGTTGTGACTTTTGCTTTTAAAATTTTACCAGCTAAGCTATATAGCAAATCATCTGCATGCACTGTACATCTAAACTAAAATAGAACATTATTTCCTTATAGCATTTTGCTGTGTTTTATTTAGAACAGGTACTTCTTTTGACAGGATTAATTAAACTATCTAATTACCCAAGGCAGTGGTATCACACTGGCTCTGGAGAGGAGTACAAAGGAGTGAAAGAGACCTTTCCACCTAATCTTGTATACCTTTTTAATTTGGGACCATGTCTATGTATTTCATCTAAAAACCACACTTACACACATGCATGTAAAATATAAATAAACTCTATATCTTGAAATATGATGTATTAGGTGCATGAATCCACCCTCTTACTGAAAAAATAAAATTATTGGGTAAAATACTAAAAAACGTACCTTGAACGCATTTCTTAGCTAATGACTATTAGCTAACCAATGTTTCTTTTAGTAGGAAACTAAGAAAAGCTCAGATCAAAGATCAAATGAGAGCAGGAACTCAGAGGGGAACTGAACTTATCCTGAAGATATTTGTCTAACTAGGTGAACCTAAACATTTCATTCACAGCCCTATGGGGCTAGGGACAGAAGACAAATCCCAGGGTTTATCCAAAATAAAGAGTCTATTAGCTCTTCTTCCACAAAGTTGATCTACTTTCTCAGTAGAAGAGCAAACTAAAAATAACCTCCCCACTAGCTTGCTCAGCCCCAGGGAATAACTTGGGTGCTGAATTAAGGAGGAAAAAAATCTTTCCTTAGAATTCATAACCAAAATACAGCCTTTATTACAGATTATAGCTGGAATTCACAATATTTCAAAGGCACAAAAAAATTGAAGCTGAGGATTGAGTATAATTAGTGCATGAACTGTAGTGCCCTGTTGTCTATTAGAAGCAAATATTTTGTAGGGAGTTGTCCATCTCACACCTCAACATGTTTTTTGCACAGCCAAAGTTCCAAGGAAAATGAAGGGCTAGCTCATAGTTAAGAAAAACACTACATACACAGAGGAACAAGGTATCAGCAGAAACAGCAAATCAGACACAGAATATAAAATGCTTAATGTTTAAATAAAGGAGAGGCTTGAAAATGAATGAAGATGCTGAGTGGAAAAAGTAAGTCACAGAAAAACACCTACAGTACGATTCCATTGATATAAAGATATCTATTAAACATAGATAAAACCAAACATTATACTTTTTAGGAGAGCAATACACAAGTGCTTAAAACAAAAACCGTAAAGAAGGAGTGATAATACAATTCGGGATTGTGGTCCCTTTTTCAGGGAGGAGAGGGACGTGATCAGAAAGGGGCACACTGGAGGTGTGGTAATATTTTGTTTCTTAACTTGGGTGTAGGAACATGAGCACTTACTTTGTTTTTAAATTGTATATTTTCACATGTTCTTGAACATATGCTAAATTTCTAATAAAAAGGAACTATGTAATAAACATGTAATATATAAAATCTATGTTGATTAATTTTTCTTAAATATTTGAAATGAATTATTTGAAATACTCTGATAGTGAGAACTATAAGATTTCAGAAAAAATAGAGTATTTCAAATATTTAACAAAGCTTATGGTTTAAGGAAACTTCTTTTCTACTGATATGATGAAACAATTTTCTTCTCCATGAGTCACAGCAAAAGCATTAATTTTGGGTTGTTATTAATCTTCCTTTTTTTCTACTTTGCAGCAAGATGAGAAGATGAAGTGAATGTATGGATTCTGGTTTTTCTGAATTTTCAAAGCATAAGGAATCAAAACAGAAATATAACTAGTATCAAGAAGATGAAGTGCTTGATGAAAAGTTTTTTTTTTTGGCCTTTCACAGAGTGTTGATTTGTCCATTCTTAATATTTATTAATAGGTATATGTGCATAAAATAGCTATTTTGTAACATTAAGCTTTTTAAGTCATTTTGGTCATCATATAACATCTTCCTGTTTATTTAAGCTTCTTTTTACCTAGTAGCCTTTAACCAAACAATAGCTATTAACGTTTTAACCAAATAAAATGTGTTAAATACCTTTGCATTGGTTATCTTGTATACTAGTCTGTCTTGTTTTGCTGTGTGTTTTTAATCCATTCAATATATGTGGACATCTAAAAGGGTTTAAAAGCCACCTCCTGGCCTGGACCGTTTTCTCTCCCTTCATTCTTCTATTTTCAGAAATACATGTTGAATGTCAGCTTCTGTATTACTTCTATTATATGTAATCTGATGACTTAGAGGAGGAGATTAACCTTTCAGGCTCTTTTGAATTTGGTTCTTATAACTTTGTTTTAAAGATCACTTACTCTTCCAGTAATAAGTAGTAAAAAATCCTGTTCATATCTGAGATCAATACACAGTTTATTGAATTCAAATAACTACTAAAACTCTATTCCACCTAGACGGAAAACTTTTTTAAAAGACAGTATCTGACCACTAAAGGGTGGGCCCAGAAATCTGCATCTTAATCAGATGCTTCCGGTAAGTCTGTCCTAGGATTGTCCTAGTACCACACTTTGAGAGACTGCAGTAGGGGTACAGAGTGCTGTAGGGGTTTAGTCAGTAGCTCCAGTGAAGGATGGATAGTTTTATTCAAAGAATCCCAGTTGATGAATGAAGAAGAAAGACTAGAATTAGAAAAATTGCAACCCCCTATTAAACCTAATGGATGTAAAACAATTAGGTGAAATGTTGATGAAGAAATTCATTACAAAGGAATAGCCCTCAGAACCCACTGATCAATGTTAGCATCATTATGAATGAAACAACCAGACACCATATGCTTCCTGCTGTGCTGCAATATTAAGTGTATGGTACCACCTATGAAGTGTTCTTGCCCTCTCCCCACAAAAAAATTGAACCTGAATTTAATCAAAGCTTTAGATCTAATATTTAGTACACAGGAAATAAGTAGAGTAGAAAAACAACCCAGGGAGAGCCACATTCAAAAAATGTTTCATTTAAATAGGACAACTGACCTGGTTTCTTTTTCAATATGTTAACAGTGTTAAAAAGTCTGTTTTCGATCAAAAGAGGCTGATGAGACCACATGCAAATACATTGCACAGCTCTTGTTTGATTCAAAGAAGTCAAGTGTAAAAGACATTTTTTAGACACTGAGAAATGGCATTGCAACTGACTAAAAGAATGTGTATGTGTGTTTTTGAAGTATTTAGGGCTAAAATATGTCCAGGATTGGCTTTTAAATACTACAAAAAATGGAGTATGGCAAAATGTTTTGTTAAAACTCAAGGAAGAGCAGGTAGATGCCAGTTGCACTCTTCACTTTTATGTACAAAGTTTGGAAAATTTCACAACAAAATTTTTGTGTTTACATAAATGAAATAACATGGGAAAATGTTCTAAGGTATGGCAAGTGAAAAGAAGCCTGGAAAATAACTAGTTTAATCCCACTTAAGTTTTTAAAGGTGTACATGTTTCAAAAAGTAAGGATAGACCAAAGTGAATGGTGGTAAGCTCTAAGTTGTGGACTTAGGTGATCTTTATTTTTATGCTTTGCTGTATTTTCCAAGTTTTTTTTTTTTTTTTTTAAAGTTTTCCAAGATGTTTTACATCTCTGTTCTTATTTACCAGATAAACTTGGTGGTTAGTTACTGGATAAACTGTAAATAGTGATAAAATTTTTAAATTTATATCAAGATAGCTCTTCGTTTTAAAACCAGTAATTATTAGGTTGGCGCAAAATTAATTGCAGTTCTTGCCATTGGAAGGTATGGTAAAAACCGCAATTACTTTTGCACCAACCTTATATTTCTAGAAGATCAAGTTGTAAACCTTTTTGTTTTCCCTAAGATCCGCTCCTGCAGAGTTGGAATAAATATGATTGTTTACACTTAAGAGTCCAGAACTACAGCAGACCTGGTTGGAGGAGAGGTACTACTGTTCCCAGACTTAAATCCAGCTGGAACACCACCTAAAATACGCAATAACATAAGACCATCAAAAGCAATGTCCCAGGTCTTACAATGTTTGCTAAGACGCAAGAGGGTGTGACACAGACGCTCAGCGCCACTGGCGAGGAGATGAAGGGGTCGTCTTCATCTTCGCCGGATGATTTCCGCCCACATAGAGGGCGCCAGTGACGCCCACACACGTGCTGGTGTCCCGGGAAGAGATTTCCTGGCAATGAGCTCAGGAACGTTGGATCTTAATCAAGGCTTTCTCGGTCAGGGTGTGGGTTGGACTTCAGGCTCCAGCAAGCCCCGCCCCACACGGCGGGTCGGTGCCCCCCGGTCCCAGGTGCCCGCTACTTCCCAGAACCGCCGCCTCCCGCTCTGGGCCCTCGAACCAGCGCGGACACCACAATGGACAGGGCGTCCGAACTGCTCTTCTACGTGAACGGCCGCAAGGTGAGCGCCCGCGGGCTGCCCCTGCCCCCAGACCCGCGGCCCGGGCCGTGGCAGAGAGGAGCCCCGGCCGTTCGTCCCATCCTTTCGTGCCCGCCGCTTAAGGCGCTCAGGCACACACTGGCTTTCTCCTTTAACAGCGGCTTTGCCTTCGCGTTCCCACCCCGCCTCCGAGGCAGATAAAGGCTGCGTTTTCAGGGACTGTCCTGGATCTTTGGGCCCCCAGCTTCCTCATATTCCCCTTTCCTCTCCTTCCAAGGCTCAGAAGCTGATTACCAAACACACGCCCTCCCTAAACAGTAAGATAAAAAGTATTCTTGCCCATCAAGGTCAGCACTCCCAAATCTTCCTTCCCTCAATCCCAGCCGATAACGGGAACGTCCCCAGTACAGAGAAGGCTGAGCCTCAGCTCGCGGGGTGTGTTTGGAAGCGCAGAGAGCAACTTAGATTCCGGACAAGACCGTAGAGACGAACACATTCAAGCCACCCCCGTCGTTTCTTGGATGAAGAAATCGTTACTTTCCAAAGTCACAGCTAATTCCTGGCAGAGTTGAACCCAAGTCAGGCTCTGAGGGCTCCAAGGTCCTCACGGGGTCCACTGCTGGGTGCGGGCTCTGTCCCCTCAGAAGCTGGGCTCGCTCTGCGCAACCCGAGGAACAGTTCCAGGCAGTGTCCGATGTCTGGGAGCAGCAAAGCCCCGTGGGCCTCCTTTGAAACACCCCCCTGAATATGAGCATCAACTCTGCTCACTCTTAATATTGTTCCAGTTTCATCGACATTACTCTGAAGGAGGAAACTGAGGCAGGAAGGTTAAGGAGCTCCCTTAAGAGCTGTGGCTCACGCCTGTAATCAGCACTTTGGGAGACCGTGGCAGGAGGATTGCTTGAGCCCAGAAGTTCGAGTTTAGCCTGGGCAACATGGCGAAACCCTGTCTCTACAAAAAATATAACCAGGTGTGGTGGTGTGTGCCTGTAGCCCAGCTACTGGGGAGGGTGAAGGGGGAGGATCGCTTGAGTCTAAGAGTTCAAGGTTACAGTGTGCTGTGATCACACCACTGCACTCCAGCCTGGGCAAGAGTGAGATCCTGTCTCTTAAAAACAACAAAAACAGAGCTAACAACCAAGCAAGAGCAGTGGCACCTGCTTTCCCTGGTGCTCGTGTTGGTGCTGGTTCACTCAGAGCCACCTGTGACCCCGCTTCTGGCTAAGGGCAGCCGCAACACTTTTCCTGATGGGCACCAGCTGCCTCCCCTGGATGCTAACCAGGGTGAAGCATCAGGCCTGTTCTAAGACCCTGAGCCTAATTTCATTTGTGGTTTTGTATTATGTTTCTTAAAGAGGATCACCCAAATTATACGTTAGGCCCCTCAAAAACTTGGTCTGCCCCTGCTGCCTGGGTTCCACATTGGATAAGATGAGCTTGTTTTCCCTGATCTGTAAAGGGGGTCGTTAGGACCCCTTCACAGGACTGCTGTGAGGGTGAAATATGACAATGGGGTGAGGTGATTGACATATCATTTTTTTCTTTCTTTTGTGTAACAGAATGGTATAGTAAACACAACACTGGTTTTGTTGTTTAGACAAACAAATCTTCAATTCCAATTCTAATTCTGACTGAGAAAACCTAACCTCTCAGAGGCCAGTTCCTCTGTTAAAAGGGGATGATACCACTTACTTCATAAAGAGTGATCATGAGCATTCAATCCACTTCTTTGTTAAGGGCCTGCCGTATGCCAGGCAGTGTTCCAGGCTTATGAGATACAGCAGAGCACAGAAATAACAAGTCCCTGTGTGCATGGAACTTACATTGTGCTGGGGAGATAGCAAGCATATAAATACGTGGAAATGTGTAATGTCAGGAAGTGAGAAGTGCTAATATAAAAAATAAAGCACAGCGTGGGGACAGAGAGTATGCAGGATACTCAGAGGGGATGGATGTTTTGGCCTGTCTGAAAGGGTGGCATTTGAGCAGTGACTGGGATGCAGTGAGGAGCAAGCCATGCAAACATCTGGGAAAGAGCATCCAGGGAGTGGGAATGGCAGGTGCAAAGGTCCTGAGGTGGAAGGATTTCTGTGTGATAAGAAGGTAGGTTGGTGGGGCTGGCAACATGGGCAGGGGCCAGATTACTAGGGCTTTATAAGTGATGGTAAGGGTTTGGGTTAAATGAAGAAACAGGGGTTTTGAGTCTAACATCTCCTCACTTCTCCTTCCCCCACTTCCAAACAAATATTGGGATTTTTAACATAACGGCCAACAATAGTTTGTGCTCTATTGATTTTTAAAATTAGATAAGCTAGTTCTTATCTATGGACTCACTTTGTCTATGGGCCAAATGTCCTGTGGTTATTTGTAAAGTATAATCTGGAGATATTGATTCTGTTTTTGCAATTACCCATTAGAATAAATTGTGTTAATCTTTCCCTTTCCTTCTCCTCCCTTCTAAATTCTGTTAGGTGTGTGCTTCAGTACTAATAAACAAGCCTGATTACTTACATGGAAAGAACTAGAATAAGCTTTTTTTTTTTTTTTTTTTTGAGATGGAGTCTCACTCTGTTGCCCAGGCTGGAGTGCAGTGGCGTAATCTCAGCTCACTGCAACCTCTGCCTCCCAGGTTCAAGCAATTCTCGTGCCTCAGCCTCCTGAGTAGCTGGGACTACTAAAAGCAGTCCACTTTTTATG